CTCTCTCTCTCTCTCTCTCTCTCTCTCTCTCTCTCTCTCTCTCTCTCTCTCTCTCTCTCTCTCTCTCACACACACACACACACACACACAATCACTTACTCACTCACGATAGCACACATCCGCACTCGCCGTGCAATCCATTGCCCGCCACCCGACGATGACGGCTTCCAACCGTTCTCCCTGTCTTTTCCCTACAGAACGATCGACGTTGTGCGTAAGCAAAAAACACGACGGAAAAAAAGGGAAAAAAAAACGTGCAAAAAACGCGCGGAAGAAAAAAAAAAATGTTCGCGTGGCGCCACCCTTCGAACTGCCGCACACCGGGAAAAAAAAAAAGACCTGCGATTTCGTCAAGTTCCTCTTGGGCCCGCGCCTTGTCCCCCGCCTCTTTCCCTACACAGGCAGACCGGGGTCGGGACTGCATCATGCGAGACCCGCTCTTCCCTTTATAAAGAGTATAGACAAAGGTTATCAAAGAAAAAAGAAAAGAAGGGCACAAAAGAAAAAACTTCTGAACAACTTAGAACAAGGCATTTGTGAACAGTCATACGACTGACAAATTGAAGTGAAATCAAAGAGCTCCAAGACGCAGATGTGCTGGTGGAAAAACACTTACTTCAAAAAAAGTCTCAGTTGCATGGTAGACTTTTCACAAGAGCACAATTAACTATTATTTCCAAGTTCTTACTCTTCGCCGTATTGGACTGATACCAGAGGGTGGCCCCTGCTTCAGATGTTTCCTTGCAAATACATGACAAGGAAGTCGCCTGGGAGTCCGTTCAAGAATTATAGTGAATGCAGTGTAATCGGGCCTGGAAACTTGGTCGTGTATGCTGTACGTGAAAAAAAAATATTACTATCTGCTGATTCTGCTCTGTGTTTGTTACTTTTTCTGTGTGCTTGCAGGTGGCTTTAATGATGAAGTGGCAGCAGCAAGGTAATGTGGCAGAGTCCTGTTTGTGCTCAATTGTTTGTTTGGTTCTTAACCTCAAATCTGCATAATGCAAGTTATCATGTACACTACGCTAGGGCCAAACCAGTTTCCTAAGGGTTTTTGTCCTGTAACGAACCAGTTCCGAACATAAAAAAAGGCGAGTACGGTAACCGCGAGATGTGAACAACAACGCTTGTCTGTTGAATGGTCGTGGTGGCGGCAGAGCAAGGGAAAGATGTGGGCTGCTCTTAGTGACCCAGACAACGACCGTGAATTCTAGCGGGGTAAAAGCCCGGTTTTAAAATTTAAAAAATGTGAGCACCGCAAGATGTGAACAACAACATTTGTCTGTTGCATGGCCATGGCGGTGGCAGAGCAAGGGAAGAGCTGCTGATACATGCTCAGTTGAGCGATGTATGTGGAGCCAAGGATCCGCAAAGTGATGAAAAGGACTTGAATGGACAATGCAGTGTCAGCAAAGCATCAACAAACAATGTACATCCAGAGAAGAGCTGCTGATACATGCTCAGTTGAGCCATGTATGTGGAGCCAAGGATCCGCAAAGTGATGAAAAGGACTTGAATGGACAATGCAGTGTCAGCAAAGCATCAACAAACAATGTACATCCAGATACATATGAAAATAGCACAATGCAGCGCAGCTGAAGACCCAAAGATATGACCTGACCTCAGGCTGTCAGATACCGACGCGACACCTCATCATACACCACACATGTGAGAGAGAGAGGAGGGACCGCATACATAGACGAAAGGTCCGTCTTTGATCACGCACACGGAGAGATACCACGGACGAGGAGATTGGGGGCAGAGGCGAGATGAGGATGGAGATGAGGGAGAAGACCAAGATCGCGATAGCGAAGTCCAAAAGTAGTCCCTTGCCAAATATCCAATCAATGTCTGCCACCAAATGTCGAATCAGATCCTGGGCCTCACTGGCCACTCAAATGAAACATCGATTCGTCTCGTTTCAATCGCAGGAACATCACCCGTACTGCAATGGGCCCAGGCTCTTTATCGCTCACTAAACTCCACCCGTAGTGAAGCGATGCCTATCGGTCACCCTTGGAAAGTGGTAGGGCTTAAAATGCTTCAGCACAAATATTGAAAGAAATAGCAGCACTTCAGTAGGGCCTGTGTCTGGGCCTGTCTGGACAGTAGACAGTGGTGGCGGCAGAAATTTCACCCTTACTTTTCGCAGGCAGCCAGCCGAGGGCACCAAAACCCCCCCTATGCTACCCAAAAAAAGCAAACAGTTGCCACTTAGCCATACCCTTCGATCCTGACTGGCATCTTCACACCAGGCACCTTTTGGCTCACGGATGCCTGTCCAGATGTCCACATCGATACCATGGTTTGAACTTGTGACCTGCTTATTGACGCTGACAATGTCATGCGTGTAGTATGTCGTATGTACCCCTCCGTCAGCCACATGGGCTGGGTAATTAACGTCTCAAGTTGACTTTGAAGTTTCAAGTCTGTTTTCCAGGACAATTTAATTTGAATAATTTCAAATTTCAAGTCTGTTTTTTAAGACAAGTTGAAACTTGGAAGTTCTAAAATTAGCGCTGGACCGCTGGTGGACTTCGGACAGGGCATATGACTTGGCGGTTCTGAAATGCAAAGGCGTGAATGCTGTGACGAACTTCCCGGCGAAGGAGTACACACAACAGTTGAAGCAGTATGAGCACGTTGGGGAGGAGGAGCTGGTGGCGATGCTACGGCGAGAGAGCAGGTATGATGCATGTCAAGCTGGGTTTGTTTGCTCCGCTGGCACCTTTACACTACGGTAACTATCATAAATGCAGAGTGAAAAAAAAATAAAAAATAATAATTAAAAAAAAAATGCAGAGTGTCTTATTCAATCAGGCTTCATATGATATGATTGGCTGCAACAACTACAGATATGATTCAGAGTCCGAATTCGGTTCGTCAGAGAAATCAAGCTGCAAATGTGCTCATCTATTCTATCATGCAGTATTCATGCCCCCTTCTGATTTTACCTGAAGCCGGCAACATTGTCTCAAGGAATGGATGGTCTTTTTTTTTTGGAGGAGGAGGGAGGGGGTTCTTTTCCCTTTTGAGCAATTCCCCTAATAGGGTACGTCCGGTTCCTAAGGCAGGTGATGGGTGAGCCCAACGTGTCTCGCCTTTTCCTGATCATAGCCCTGGGAACTGTGCAATGCCATGTCGCCTCCTTTGACACTGAGAAGAACACGACTGTGACTGTTATATTCCCGTTCCCCCTCAAGTCTACGCGGAAGAACTCCATGATCGTACAAACTTCCTAGGAAGTATATGATTCCACTAAAGTAAATCCTCAGTTCATGCACGACTGTTATATTCGGGGCCCATTCCCCAAGTCATTCTGATGCAAACTGTCTATGCGCGACCGTAGGCTAAGCCTGAGTGGACGAGGCGGAAGGGCAATTATGCTGGAGTGACTGCAGGATTGCCGCCGTTCATGATTTTGCACATTGTGTCGGACTCCTCCACGAGAGTAAAGCCGCACATAATGTGCTCATTATCTTCTACATGAAAGCGTGTTTTCTTTTTCCTGATCGTAGTTTCCCCGCGGCATTCTTCCATGTAGTTTGTCAGGTGAAGTCAAATCTTTCATTTGGCAGTGCACTCTTGCTGAGCTTCCATGAGCTTTGCCATCCCTCTGCTTCACATCCACCTCGAACTACCATCTTTCGCCGAACCCAACGCACCCTCATTTCGACTGACAGTGTGTGCGCCCCAAAGGGTTAGCTTGTATACGTTCATAATCAGGGTGCGTTGTGCTCGGCGGCAGACAGTTGTAATTTAAACTGTTGCGGCAACTGTTTTTCTGCGTTTTCCCCGGTCCAGACCTTCCCACTACAGTTCTAGTTCTAACCCCTCTAGAAGTTACTAGAACCATGAAGTGACTCTGCCCTAGGGCTTGCTGCTGGACTGCAGTAGAGGGGATACCAGGCATCCAACACTGCTGAACCTACTTCGACAAACTTCAAGGTGCCTGGCCAGTGTGTCTGTTGCAATTCCGACCGTTTTGGTGTGACTAAGGGATCCGCACACCTGGAGTCTGATGCCCAAATCTGATACTTGACACCACCGTCGTTACCCAAATAGAACGCCAGGTCATCATCGCCGTATCTGGACTCAAAGTTGCAACAAATACAGCATAATCACCAGGTGTTCTATTCGTCGGGCGAAGACGTTTGTTTTTTTTTTTTGTTGTTTTTTTTTTTGGATGGCGGGTGGAGACCGTAGTTCCGAAATTGTGGTGTTTTTCTCGGCACGTGTGGTCCTCACCACTTTACCGCAGAAACAGCAGTGCATCTTTCATAGTTCATGCCATTTTTTTTATTTATTTTTTTGAATAAAGCATGATTGGCCTTGAGATATTATCATGGAACTGACCGGCTCTAGGTAATTCAGAATAATTGTAGTGTTTTTTTAAACTTCTTTACTCATTTTTGTATCCATTGGAGTTCGAACTCAGCACCTGGTCTGTATCTCAAGACCGTTGCCCTTTTTTTAAGGGGGAAACAGGTCAGTAATTCAGACCTGAGTTCGAACTCTTGAGTACTGTTGAGATACAGACCAGGTGCTGAGCTCGAAGTTCGAGCTCTCCTGGATACAAAAATGAGTAAAAAACATTAAATACCACAATTATTCTGAATTACCAAGCGCCGGTCAGTTCGAACTCAGGTCTGAATTACTGAGGTCTGTGTTTTACTCATTTTTGTATCCCCGGGGAGTTCGAACTCAGCACCTGGGCTGTATTTCAACAGTTCAACAGTTCAACAGTTCAGGGGTGTACCAAGTGAATCAGGCCGCAGTTGGTCAGATCCTGCCATTAGTAAGGAGCAAGAAATCTGAGGTTTCTACAGCGGTATGTGTGTGTGTGTGGGTGTTTGAGAGGCCCTGACATTACAAAGGACTTTAACAGTTTAACTACCATCTTCACCCAAATAGAACACCCGGTCATTATAGCCATATCTGGTACAATCTCGAGTTCAAATACAGCTATAATGACGGGCGTTCTGTTTGGGTGAAGACGGGAGTAAGGAGCAAGAAAAGAAGTTCAACTTGATGGATGAGCTAAGGGAGCTCAGCAGGAAATGAGTGGCTCTTCATGTACTATGTACTATCCTCAGGGCTCTAAAGCCTCCAATGGGGTGTGGCTATAGTAAGCTTGAATTTCGAAAACAGGAGGGAAAAAGGCAAAAGGAAACCACATATTAGCAAGTTTTGGATGCGCGCATATGTTGGCTGGACGATTCCTGTGGCTGTCTTTAAGTTACTGTTCTTTTTTTTTTTCTTCTTTTTTTTTTTTGGGGGGGGGGAAGTTACTGTGCCTAAGTTCTTTTTTTTTTCTTTTTTTTTTAATAAAAATTTGGACCATTTCTCGATTTATGTGTGTCATCCTTGCGCAGCGGCCATGCTAATCTTCTCTGTATCATTCCAATTTTAACGGATGTCCCGAAGGACCTGTGCCTAACTTCTTGCTGCTGCTTTTTTGGCAAAAAAACAAAACTTGCAGTGCATTCTCAAGGGGGAAATCACGTTATAGGGGTGTGTCTGGACAAAACAAGAGATGGGAGGCAAGAATTGGGTCCTATTTTGGGCGGAAGAATGTGTCCTTTGGTGTGTACCTGACAGAGGAGGAGGCTGCGCACCATTATGACCGGTATGTCGTACCCACTTGCACAATTCTTTTCCATGCTTCTGGCTCATAAGTCAGCTTTTTTTTTTTTTTTTTTGCTTTTTTTTTTTTTGGTATGTCGTATCCAGTTGTGTAATCCTTTTTCATGCTCTAGCTCATGTGTCAGTAACTCTGTACTCTCTTCCCAGCCTTTCTTCTCTCTTCTTTTTTTTTTTTTTTTTTTTTTTTTCCTGGATGCTCTTGACATTGAGATCCTTCTTCTGCCCGGGAACATAGTTCGGCCCCATGATCCGAACCTTCATGCCAGTGGACACCTAAAATTTTGGACCATTTATCGATTTATGCGCGCCATCCTTTCTCTTATGTCCCATGTTTTATTCGTTTTGTTTTTCTTTTTATTTTAAATACAACTGTCTTCTTGTCATATATGGGGGTCAAGCGGTATTTGCTACCCTGTTTATTTCTCTCATATCTACCTCACCCTGGCTACCTACCTGATGGGTCACATCTATTCAGGACAAAGCAATTACACTATTCAGGAGACCAGCATTAAATCTTCTAACTTGGCCTAAGCTATCCTAAGGTTATGGGGCTACGCCTGGTACCTAACTCTGCGGCTCATTCTTCAACAGGCACGCGGTCAAAGATACAATTCTCCTCCCACTGCTTGAAGGCCTACGGTTTCATGTTCTCTGTGAGGGGAGCAGCACCCAAGCTGCTAACACCTGGCGCAGGCTGGAAAGTGAGACACCCACACTTCCATAACTCTGCTCTGTGTGGGGAGCAGCACCCAAGATCCTAACACCTGACGCAGGCTCGAAAGTGATACACTCACACTTCCGCAACCAGCCGGCAGGGACAAGCCGACTTTCTCAGTCGGTGAACCTCAAGTATGCTACACAGGGGGTCATGCGGAATCCAATTGGATGCCGTGGCGAATCGGACCCACGACGTCCTGTGTACCACTTACGTCCTCAACCCACAGTTCACTTCCAGAATCGTGATTGAAATCATGAAGTGGGCTCAAGTGCATGGACCACACGACTCCAGATTTTATTGTAATCTTGAACCCTGAACACAACAGCCGTTGATCCGAACAGGCATTACACTTTAACTTAGCCAAAAGGATGAGAAACTCAGAGAAAGGTTAAAACAAAGTTTAAAGGGGATTCAAACTGTTTTTCAGACTTGTTTATGAAAAAGATAAAGGAGACAACTGCGCCTGTGACCGCCGCAGAGTTCCAAATTCGCAGTGGGGAATAACAGCTGACTGCAACCTGAACGCAGTGCAGTTCGAAACTGCAAAAAGAAAAAAAACAGGTACCGGTCCTGCCAGTTCAACAATAGGCAAAAATGGGAGGTACGTGTACCGGTACCTGTCGTTTCCCCAGGGGTGTGGCCTAGGCATCTCGGCCATGGCCCAGCCACGGGCGTGGCCTAGACATCCCGGCTGTGCCCCAGCCACGGGCGTGGCCTAGCCGTGCCGCAGCCATGGGCGGCGTGGCCAAGACATCTCGGCCATGGCCCAACCACAGGTGTGGCTTAGACACCTCGCCCGTGGCATAAGCACCTCGGCGGTGGCCTAGCCACGGCCGTGCGCAGAAAACACGATTCGCCCCTTGATTTTCCCACTCGAACACTTCCGAACTTCCAACGGCTAGAAGTGCACAAAGCTGTAACAGTTCAGAATCTGTTTTTGCAGTTTCTAACTGCCCTCCCTCGGCCCATAACCGCTGCAGTGCCCTGTTACTGTTATTCCTTCCTGCAAATTTGGAACTGTGCGGCAGTTATAACTGCACGGGTGACTGCTGCACAGTTCCAAATTCACAGGAAGGAATAACAGTAACAGGGCACTGCAGCGGTTATGGGCCGAGGGAGGGCAGTTAGAAACTGCAAAAACAGAAAACTGTTACAGCTTTGTGCACTTCAAGCCGTTGGAAGCTCGGAAGTGGCAAAATCAGGCTGCCACTCGTGTTGTTGTTGTTGTTTTTCCTGTGCCTGTGACTTTTTTTTTTTTTTTTTTCACGCCTGCGACTTTTTTTTCTTTTTTTTTGTGCCTGCGGCTTTCTTTTTGTTTTCTTTTTTTTTCATGACTGCGGCTCTTTTTTTTTTTTTTTTTTTCACGCCTGCTCATGCCACGGCAGAGCTGTCTAGGCCAGACACGTGGCTGGGCCATGGCCGAGATGTCTTGGCCACGCCCGAGATGTCTAGGTCACGCCCGTGGCTGGGGCATGGCCGAGATGTCTAGGTCATGACCGTGGCTGGGCCACGGCCGAGATGCCTAGGCCACACCCCTGGGGAAACGAGCCAAAAAAGGGAAGGCCTGCTACCAGTAACTGCCCCCAGGCCAGGCCATGGGAAAAAAGGGCTGTACCACTACCGCCACCTCCCGTTTTCGCCAATTATTGAACCAGTAGGCCGTCGATGCATGATTTACTGTTTTTCTTGCAGTTTCTAACTGGTCTTCGCCCAAGCTTGCAGTGGACTGTTATTTCTGCGAATTCTGAACTGTGCAGCGTTCACAGGCGCAGTTGTCTCTGAAAAAAAAA